TGTGAGTAAAATGGAGCTGATAAAAATGATGTTTATCTAACAAACTTTTTTTCTGCTGGGGGAGATGTTTTATATTGTAAGGAAGAAAATGTGTAAAGTTAAAGGTTTGTAGAGTATGTAAGGTATTTTATACTTTTATTTTTCACCCACTGGCAGTTGATTGGTAGTAGTGATATGTGGTTCAGTCCCCTCCTTGTTTTTTTTTTCCAGTCTTGCTATATTTATAATTTTTTGTGAGATTTCTGTATCTTCAAGTTAAGGATTTATGTGCAAAATTAGAAATTTTGGAGGGAAGCTTTCCAAGTTTCAACAAGAAGTTTTTTTTTTTCTGTTTGCTTGATATTGCTTTCAATATATCTAGCTTGAAGAGTAAGTTAATCCAATATTTTTGAGGTGATTCTGAAATATATTTTGGATATAAATCTTTTATTGGTGTTTGCTTTATTTTATTCATCATTGTTTCATATATTGGAGAACTGCAAATCCACAATAGTAAACTTAACAGATTTGACTAAGTAAATAAATTTGAAGTATATGTAAATGTATGCTTGTATATATTGGTGTGGTAGAGAAGAAAATTGATTAATAAATGAAATGTAACATATGTATAATACTGGTTTTACTTTGAGGATAACTACAAATAAAATAAAATTATATATAAAAAAAACATAGAAAAAGAAATAATTTTATTTATTAACCAAGCAAATTTCATTATAAGATATAGATTATTTCTGAAATTACTGTAAACTAACCAATTGCAGGTAAACTGTCAGTGTAGTCTTTTTCTAGAATATAAATAGAACTTTTCATAACAACTAATATAACTGTCATTGAGGCAAATGCTAAAAATAAGATTTTGTTTTACATCTTTCAATGAGATCAATGTGTCACTTATTAATTAATTAATTCTACTTCCCTTTGCTGATTGGATTTAGACACGTCATCTACAATTTAAAACGTTGAAAAAATTCAGACCGAAGGAAATAGATTATGAGTTTGAGTCAAGCAAAAGAAAAAAACAAGAACATGGTGACCTGCAGCTATGAGTAATGATCTCTAATAGTTATTCACCTAATTTGGAAATCACATTTTCTGGTATAAAATAGTTATTCACCTATTTTGCAAATTGCATATTGTGGTATAAAATGTATTTGTTGGGCTGGTCGAATAGTCGTACATTTTTAACAAAAATATATATTTATACTGGGATTATCATACTCTTGTTTATATTGAGTTTTGGAGTATGATTAGGAGTGTAAGCGAACAAGCTGAGCTCAAGCTCATGATACTCGGGTTTTTTAAATAAATGAGTCAGTAATCGAGCTCGAACTCAACTTGATTACTGATATAGTCAAACTATTAAAAACGATGTAAAAATTTCTCTTTTCAAGTTTTATCAAACCGAGTCGTGCCCGACTCGTTAATTAAACGAGGTTGGCTTGTCTATCAAACGAGTCTAACGGAGCCAAGCTCACAAGCGGCTCGTTCCGTTTAACAACTCTAAGTATAACATTATGATTAAAAAATATACATATAAATTGAAAATTTTTGATAGTCTAATGCTATGGGTTTTAAATCCACAATTTTGATAGTGTAATGAAGCAAAGAAATAACTAGGCCCAATGCTATGGGTTTTAAATCAGTTATGGGCCATGGCCCGTTCTTGTCTTTGACAATTGAAGCCCATTCATGTTACGATTATATCTGTATTCTGTAGTTGAATATTTTAAGGTCATTTATCTTCCTTATGTTGGTGTTAATATTAATATGTCTAATCATTATTCAATTATAAATGATTACACATTTGTATGATAAATCATAAACTTAGCACAGTAATCATAAAATAGCATCAAATGTAAAGTTAAAATATACATAAATGAAAAGAAAACAAGAGGCTTAATTAGCACCATGTTTTTTTTTTTCTCATCTTGAGGTCAAAAACATTATGCTCAGCACACAGAAACCAAATGAAGCCCATCATTTTCCCTTTTTTCCTGTCAAAAATCCAATATTTTTCCAATGCAGCTGTCAAATATTATAATCCAATCCTTTTGTGTTCCTTTGTCCAAGTCAAATTACACGACTTTAAATATGGATTGGCCTCGATACAAATGTCATACACAAAATAAAGAAAAAAAAAAAGAAATATAATCAATATTTTCTTGTTGAGATACATAATTTTTCTCTTGTAAGTTAGATATTAATCCTATCTTATTAACACTGTTCATAAGAGGAATAAATGGGGCGTTGGATGAAACCAGAGGTATGTGTGCATCTTTTTCTTTTTTGACATCCAATTCTGATTTTGGTATGCATAGAAAATATTTTTTTTTTATAATATATATAAAACGTGTTTTTTATAGTAGTTTTCTTAATAAAATAAAATTCGAACTATATATAAACAACATTCATAAGTTGTTACCTCTCGTATGTCTTGTTGGCCATACACATTATAATATATGAGTCAAAATGTACAAAATAAATATACAGTTATGAATATTTAATCCCAATAAAAAAAAAAACTAGGTGTAATCCAAATTTTTTCTCTTAGGAAAATATTTAAAAGTTGATTAAGGGGCTAAATTTAATTTTATAAGATCATTTGGAAAAAAAATTGAAAAAAAAAAAACAGGTTTACCCTCTAATGGCTGCCATGAGTTTTGTCACTGGAATGTGCGTCTTTCAGCTCACAAGGAATATCATCCTCAATCCTGATGTCAGGTACAAATCAAACATACAAATACTAAATTAATATTCTTAATTTATGATAAATAAAATTTTCTAATATTAATTTAACACATAAATCATAATTAATGCAATTGTTTTAATTTTATTTTCTTTTGCTAGAATCAACAAAGTCCATCGGTCAACGGCGGTGCTCGCAAACCAAGAGGAAGGAGAAAAGTACGCCGAGCACAGCCTCCGTAGGTTCCTCCGCACGCGGCCGCCGGAGGTGATGCCCGCCGTCAACCGCTTCTTTTCCGATGTCAAGTGAATAAAAGGTTGAAAAACTCACTGTTAAAAGAAAGCTTATATCGGTCGCCGTGAAAACCTAATTACAATTACAATTTAATTATGAAGACTATATATATACTGCGTTGTGAAATTGTTTTTTTTTTTATTAATTGATTTTGTGTGTAATGATTTTCTTGTGTATTATTACGATGTTGTAATTCAAGTTCTGAGTTGAAATTTCATGTATTGATGTTGTGATTATTGTTAACTGTTCATTGAAGTTGATTAGAGAATTATTTATATTGGAAATTCCAGCATTAATGTGTGATGTTTATAAAAAAAAAAACAAATCATTGAATGGTAATAAATGACTGTGTATATATAAATTTATATAAAATGTACATGAAAAGAGTATATCCTACCCATTTAATAAAAGGATGATGTATATATAAAGTTAACATCTAACAGATATTAATGCATAAGAAAATCAGAAGAGTTACCTTGCCACAGACTGGGCAGTTGTCACTTTTTTCCATCCACTCATATATACAACCAAGATGGATATGGTGAGAACATTTTGTATTTATTTTTGGGTCCTCTGTGGTATATTCTGCAAGATGAAAAATGCGTGTGTGTAAAACTAAAACGTGTGAACGGTTATCAGTAATTTACTCGAGCAAGAACAAAGTGAATGTTTTAAGCAACACATCTAGTCCCTCAAAATGCTTCAAAATAAAATGCTACTTTCTCCCTCGATGACAAAACACGGGCTATTTAAAACAAGCCCCTTTTTTTCACAAGGTTCAAATCAGATCAGTTATTGATTAAAATTTGGCCGGATAATTGTATAAACTACCCTCATGTTCGGGATAATAATATTCACTAAAAAGACTGGAGTTTGAGAATACATAAGACGCCCTTAAAGTTATATTCTTTCTTATACTTTCAAAAACTATTAAACTATGTAAGAATAATATTGTAAATAAGATTGAATCCAACTATGCGTATTTAGTGATAATAATACTAACATGACCAACTAAAAACACTGCGGGTAAAGCATCAAACTTCAAAAGCTGTGTTATACTAATATTCGATGCAATCAGGTTTGAGTAGAAGAAAATTTAGTCATAACTAACACACACGAGAGTAATAGCGAAAAAAAGTGCGAAAATATAAAATTTGAACAACTTAATCGATTTCATCACAGCAGTCAGTATATACCATATGCAAGAAATGCTGAATGAAGCAGCGGAGGCATATGCAGTTCCGATAAACCGAGCTGTTTGGATTAGCAAAATCTTCACATTCATCCCTCAAACAGCAACAAGTAGAGCCCATCTTCACCAATCGAGGCCCACTATTAAGTTCAATCTAAAAAATATCACCAAAAGACCCATTCATACGAAGAAACATTTGAAGATCGAATACCAAATCATGGTAGCAACTTAAATGCAATGAGAGAGGATCCCAAGACGAGCACCCTCTCCCTAACAATAATCAAGACCCAAATGCCTTTTTCTTGTGGTAGGCAACGTTAAGAAATATCTACAAACCTGCGAGAAATATATAACGTCACTCAATTGATTCAAGTAACGATGAAAATTAATAAATTGCAACTTTGTAGGTAAATGAGCTTCGGTAAAAAAGACAGCACTTCACAGAGCTGCAGCTTAAGCCATCACCAAATCCTCAATTCAAAAACAAAAAGATCACAACCAGTAATGAAACAGTACAACTCTTTCCTATTCTTCAACATCAAGCAACTGGTATTAGCCTAATTTCTTGAAAGAACATTCACGATTGAATTGAATTCTCAGAAACCTAGAACAAGATTCAGTTTTTTCGTCCGACAGAGAGAGTCCATTACCGGATTAAGTGACTGTTGCTAACTTCAACTCAGCAATCGGGAGAAATGTGAAGTGTAGTGATAGAACCAGTTCAACTGCAAATTTTTCACCAAAACCCATTCACCAAAAAAGTGCAAGAAACTTAAAGATCAAATTCCAAATCCTGCAAATTAATTGCAATGAGAGAGGATCCCTAGACCAGCACCCTCTCCCTAACAATAAACAAAACCCTGATGTCTTTTCTCTTGGTGAGCAAACCTGCGAGAACAAATTGAGCTAGCATGATGAGAATGGAGAAATAAAACGTCACTCAAATGATTTACAAAATGATGGAAATTAATAAATTGCAAGTTTACAGCTAAACGAGCTCAGACGAAAAAAGACAACACTTCACAGAGGACATCATAAATTCCTTAGTTCGAAAACAGAAAATTACAACTAGTAAAAGGAAAAAGTACAACTCTTTCCTATTTCTTCAACCTCAAGCTGGTATTCACCTATTTATCGAAAAACCATTGAAGATTAAAATTGAATTCTCAAAAACCCAGAAAAAAGATTCAAGTTTTTCGTCCAACATAAAGAGCCCACTGGTGGGTTACGCGACTGTTGCCAACTTCAACTCAGAAATCAAGAGGAGAATGAAAAGAATATAATTTGCTGAGATATGAATATAAACAAAAGCATGGTATTTTTCTAATATAAATATCTATTATAAAAATCAGTTTAGGTAACGCTCAAGTGCCACGATTTTAGATGGTCATTCTAGACATGGGCAATATTAATCATGTATAGATTGTCCGGGTAGTCGATACTCGAAAGACTCGAAACAGGTACCTAGGCGATCTTAAAGGACACCTAGACGTCCATAACTGTATTGAATATACCTTAGTTCTTAAAAATTAAAATAATTATGAATGTATTAATTTTTGCATTATCTTTATGTTTGATCATGTTAACTAATATATTTTATATAATATATCCTTAAAATTGTAAAGGGTAAATAATATTTCTCAACATTTACATGGATAAATTTTAAAAATTATAAAGGGTAAATAATATTTTACAACCTGTAGTATTCGTGTATTTAGGATTTACAGCCTCTTCAATTATTGGTAATAAGTTACAACATGTAATATACAAAATGTCGATACCGCAATCTCTCGCCATCGACGGTCCAATTTCCTCGAAAAAAGCAAGCGTGCGAGAAGAACGTACCAAATTTGAGAGAATAAAATGTCATTTCACCTTATGTCTATTGGTCTCACGAGTGAATTTAATTTAAGGCAACATATTTACCCAAATTCAAATTGACATAATCAATCTATGGGTCCTCTCTTCGACTTAATCTCAATGTTTCCTTCTTGATTAAGGTTTTTTATTGAAATATTGGGAAGAAATCTTTCCCTTATCTACTGCCATTAGGGCCGCCCCTGGCAACGTTTTATGGCATATGCCTATTAACTAGTTAACTTAGATGTCGTCGCGAAAGTATACCGAAAAGTTAGAGTCAAGAAGAACAAGAGGGGAAAACTATTCGAGAAGGCGTCGTCCTTCCAGGGCAAGGCTGAATTGGTGACGACAGTGAGCGTGCCACGGCCAAGGACAGTGTCGGACCTGCTCTCCGGTCCTCTCTTTTCACGGCGAGTCCAATTTGGACCTCAATTATTCCCAATTTTGCTTGGAAAATAAGCTTTCCAAATTTATGGTTTTGTTATAAAACGATTTATTTCATCAGTGAATTTACATTTTTGCTCTCAATTTTGGTACGTGCGTCTCGCACGCTTGCTTTTATGGGGAAAATCGGACCGTCAATAGCCGGAGACTACGATATAGATATTTTCTGTAATATTACAGGTTACAACTTATTAAAAAAATTGCAAAGGTTGCAAATCTTAAACATGCGCATAGTATAAATTGCAAAATGTTATTTAATCATGTATAATTATAAATAGGTTTTATTAATATTTTCACGACCTTGTTTAGGCATTGTCTAATCCGTATCAAAGCACTAGACATTGAGCGTGCCGCCTAGCGAGCGCCTAACATTGTATATACCAATAAATACATTCTTATTAAAAATTATAAAACAACCTCATACAATCTATAAATGAGGAAATATAATGCACGACGTGGTCGGCCCGGGTCTTTGCCCCTTTGTTCCGGCCTCTCCGTGGTGCGTGGAGAGCGAGTTCTCCAACGTGTGGGGGTGAGAGTGGCTCCCTCGATGCCGTGTTTGCCGTAAATCGTATTATTTTTGTTTGGGTTTCTTTCGGGCTTTGGTTCGAGTGGTGAAGTTGCGGTGTGTTTGCCCGACTATTGGGAGGGTTTGCTGTATTCTAGGAGCAGTTGTAGTTTTGTGTATTCTTTGTGTTTTTTTTGGTGTTTTATCTGTTATTTTTTTGAATTGTTCTACTGTTG